GCAGGAGTTTGTATGTTCTCTCCTTGTTTACATGGGTTTCCTCTGGATGCTCCAGTTTCCTGCACCTTAAAAAACATCTATGTTTGGTGGCTTCTCCAAATTTAGTTTTGGTCCCCAGGGGCACCGCTTAATGGCTGCCCACTGCTCCTACTACTGAGGATGAGCCAAATGTAGAAACTAAACTTTATTACAATCAAAAAGAAACAAAGTCTTGTGTAAATCACAATGTGCATCACAGCTTTAATTCTTAACAAGTCCATTGATTAAATCCCATTAAATCTGAGTGGAATCAATAAACCTAAACTCTGAACTGAATGTTACTGAATCTGTTGTGTGGAGTACATTTTAAAACCCAAAGATATTCAGTTTAAAGCAGCAAATCATTACATTGGAGAAGCTCTAGAATAATTGGTTAAAAGTTAACCTTTTGTTGATCAACGAATACTTGACTTAATTTAAGAAAGGTCAGAATGACTCATTCATAAATATTATGAGAATAAGCTGCTGTTGAAATCTGTGACTTCAGAGGGTTAAAAAATGAATTTTCCCTGTTTAGAAATAAAGGAAGAGCGAATGAGCTGCTTCGACATGATCCGTGTTATAACACTCGCCTTGTGCTTATCTGTTATGGTTCCCTGCCCTGCACTGATATATAAGATCAATAAGGGAACGCCCAGTGGGTAAACATTCCCCCTGGCCCGGAGCCTCAGCCTTCAGGGGCCCGAGCACTCCGTCCTGACCCCTGCACCGTGAAGGTGAGCCTGTGGTGTTTGGCACCACCGACGGAAATCAAACCCTTCCATTTATTAGTTCTCAGAGCCGGTGTTGTTGTAAGGATCAGAGATGAAGAAAGGCTCTGGATTAATGCGATGAAAAGACAAACAATCGACAGGCCGTGGAAGATGTAAATGCACCACTGAGTATTATTTCCACTACTTCAAAGACAACACCGGCTGCAGCTGCCACATTTCACATGAGTTTTATTCCCAATATTTAGAGGATCGAATCCTTTTTGTAGTTAATATGTTGAGTGAACAATGCTGATGTTTTATGTTTGTTTCTTTAATTTAAAGGACATTGTGGGAGGAATCATAAAACTCTGTATAACCAGGTGGATGCCACACCTCTCCCTTGAAAGAAAACACAAACAGACCATTTGTCAAATTGCCATTCTCTTTCAAAACCTCTTTGAATAACAGCTGCTGATATCATACTTTCAAACATTTAACCCCTAAAATCTACTTTTCATTTCCTAAGTAAAGTGTTCTCTGCCCATCATATAAAACCACATATAAAGGTCCAGTGTGTAGGATTTACTGTCATCTAGTGGTGTAGTTGTAGATTGCAACTCCTTCACTTTTTGTTCACCTTCCAAGAGCGAAGGAGGAACTATGGAACAATCATAACTAGAGCTAGTGTACAGTAGATAAATAGCAGTCCAATCCGGGATGTATAAAGAAGAACTGAATACAGCTTTGGGAACGGGCTCCATTCATTCGACTGGAAGCTGCTGAGTGGCGCATGAAGCCAAAACTGTTCAACAAATAACCCGGATCTTAACCCTACACACTGACTTCCACCAGCTAAACTGTTTAGCGCTCTGCTAACTTGAATGAAGATAAAATAATCGTGCAGCTCTTCTACACTTCACAACTGTTATCAGATTAAATGAATCATTTTACAGCTGCTTCCCTCACAATGGGAGCTTATAAAAGAAGTATTTTTCGGTCATTAAGTGTCATGTGATGGACGTCATTGCTGTAATTTCACAGGCTGGCCACTATATCAACCTGTTCTAGCTCATTCTCGGTCCACAGTAATCCAATCAAACACTTTGGTGTTGAAATATTACCCTTCTCAAATATTCACTGTCAGTTGAATATCTGTCATAAACTCCTGATGCTCTAACTGTTGATGTATCTAAAAAAGTAATTATCTTCCATCATGACAGTATGAATATGTATAGCATTCAGCAAAGTTTAGAACCTGATTTGTCAGATATTAACTCTTCAAATAGTTCAGTTGTGAAAACAGATTTACCTTTGAGCTCTGCTGCCTGATGGTCCTTGATAAAATCTTCATGCCAGCAAGCTCTGTTGGTATGTAATGGCCTACAAACCCAGTCTAAATAAACCCGGGTTACACACAATGCCACTGCAGTGCCTTTTGCTCTCACACCTTTTCAGTTTGTGATTTTCAAGAATGTTCCATCCATCCATATTCCCCAGAGCTAAACGCCGCTCTAGGGAATATTCAGGTGGAAAAGTATTCAGTGTTTGCAGGTTCACATCTGCTTCAAAGATGAGACTTTAAAGGACCGTCTCAAACAACACGGAGCTTCTTTTTTACCGTTTTCACTCAGTGTGAAGAAAGGATCAGAGGATTTGAACTAAGGACATCAGTCATGTAGCATCAACACTAAGAGCCCTATTTTACAATTTCTAGTCAAAGACATCGATTTTCCTGAAGGAAAACTGGTAGATTTTTATCAACTTTAGCAAGCCATCTCATTAAGGTAGTGACTCCACAAGTTGTTTGAAAGCTGACTTTTAAATTTTCAGTTGTTGTCAAGCAACTTAAAAAAGCCTTAAATATTCACTTAATGTTGAAGTTAAAGTTGAAGCTGAGCAGCTGGAGGACATCAAAGGAAAAAACTGAAAATATTTTCTCCATAAAATCTGATCCAGTTTCACCCAAATCTCTGAATACAGTTATAAAGTTGTGCTTTTGTATAGTAATCAGTGAGGCCAGGGTATTGATGTCTGTTATACATAATACTTCATGGGAACTTTAAAACTAACTTTAAGACTGTCTGGTTGTTCCTTGTTCTTCCTGATCAGTCTGAGTGACATCAGCTTACACCAACGTGAACACACACACAGACACACACACACACTCATCCTCTGAATGGCCTGATTTTCCGTCAGTCGATGAATGATGTCTGACATTCTTCTTCAAACGTCTCTCAGCCTGTGTGGTCTGTCTCTGAGGGCGACGTCATTATAAAAGTCAGACTGAGTCACCTTTAGTGTGTGTGATCGACTCTCTGCTGCTAATTTGTCCATTTCAGACCATTAAAAAACTGTGTAGAAAAAGAATACAATTATTTTAACCAACTTCTATTTCTGGTGTCGAGTAGTTGTGTCATGCCTTTGGGTTTAGTTGTTTCCTGCTTTATAATGTAATACTGTAATTTACTTCCTGTCTGTGTCTGTTTTCCCACCCTACTTTCACCTGCCAGCTCATCCTGCTTGCTGTTACCTTTTGCTTTTGAGCTTCTGTCAACCAAACCTGGACCTGAACCGGTCTACCTGTCTGCCTGTACCTATCTACCTGTACCTGCCAGTAAGATAGATATCATCATGCCATAGATATCATCATATGATTCTGACCTTCCCTACTTCCGGCACCGGCGCAAGCAGGACGCTTATCCAGTAGCTCCGTACATGTCGTGTTGTTTTTTGTGCGTTTTTTAAATTTTTAACTCAGTATATTACACTAGCCATGTAGAACCTTATATATCCTATGGATACAATGACTTTTTACGGACAACATAGCGGTGGACATCTTGCTTATTCAAGGGAGAAGCTGCTTTCACTACAAACAATTGGACATGCCGGCATTTTCCACCACATACCTGAGGAGCCAAGGATGAGGCACCAAAGCTGCAGAGCCGGAGCAAAGGTGAAGGCTAGGCTAGCGGCTAAGTGGTGGAAGTACAAGCCCTCGGTTCTGTCGATAGTGATGGGGAATGTGAACTGTCTGACCAACAAGACGGCCCTTGTGAGGACGGACAGGATGTTCAGGGAGTGCAGTTTACTTTGCCTCTCTGAAACCTGGCTAACCCAGAACACCCCTGAATGTACATCTACCTGGATTCACTACAGTGAGAGTGGACCGGGACTGTGGACACAGCGGCAAGAGCAAAGGAGGGGGAATCGCACTGTTTATCAACAATTCAATTCAATTCAATTCAATTCAATTCAATTCAATTTTATTTGTATAGCGCCAATTCATAACAGAAGTTATCTCAGGACACTTTTCAAATAGAGCAGGTCTAGACCGAACTCTTTATAACATTATTTACAGAGACCCAACAGTACCACCATGAGCAAGCACTTGGCGACAAGGGCAAGAAAATCGATCGATAAGAACCTGCGAGTCCTGCAGGAAGCACATGGTGAGGACATCGAGGGGGTCACACACTGCACTACTGACTACCTGAACTTCTGCATGGACGTGCTGGTCCCCATTAGAACTGTATGCTGCTTCCCCAACAACAAGCCCTGGATCACCAATAATGTCAAGGACATCCTGAACAGGAAGAAGAGGGCATTCAAGGATGGTAACAGAGATGAGCTGAAGCATGTACAGGGGGAACTCAAGGTCCACCTGAGAGAGGCGAAGAAGGACTACAGAAGTAAGGTAGAACAGAAGCTGCAGCATAACAACACGAGGGAGGTCTGGGATGGCATGAAAACCATCACAGGCGGCAAGAAGAAGGGCAGTATCACAGGAGAGGGGGATGCTGGGAGAGCAAACCAGCTAAACCTGTTTTTTAACAGGTTTGATACTCCAGCTCCCACAACCAGTGACGGCCCACTTAATAATAATAATAATAATAATTATAATAATAATATTAAAAAAAAAAAAAATGCCACCACCATGTCCATCATCACCTCAGACTGCAGACCACCCCACACTCCACACCCATGGACAGTTCAACCCCCCTCCACACCACCATCACCAAGGATCAGGTGAGCAGAGGAGGCTTTGTCCAAGGAAAGCAGTGGGCCCGGACAGAGTGTGTCCAAGGATGCTTAAATTATGATGTTATAATGAAATAATGAAATTATGAAGACCTTTGAACGGCTCCATGTCCTCAGACCCCAGGTCCACCATGCACAAGATCCACTGGAGTTTGGATACCAGGAGAAGGTGGGCGTGGAGGATGCCATCCTCTATCTGCTCCATAGGGCCTACTCTCATCTGGACAAGGAGAAGGAGGCAATCACAGAGGCTTCGTATGCATCATCTCCATTTAGATTGGTCACAGTGACCTCCAATGCGATGTCCTTCTGGTCGCTGAGCGAGATCACCGGCACACCGTTCTCCCTTTAAACAGACAGAGGTCATGATCTCATGTAACTGAAGAATTGGCTCCACATGCTTCAAGGAACAAGGAAGTAATTATTAAATGATACTCTTGTGAAAAAAGGTGCGAGTGTTTGTTCTTACAATTCTAACGGAGTGAACGTGTCTTTGTCAGTTGCCTTGTAACCGTAGCGGTATTTCACCTGCATGTTGCTTCGGCAAACATTGTCGCTGCCGCAACCCTCCTTCAGGAAATGCACCTGCAACCACACAAGATTACATATATACAGTGGGAACATCAACACATCTTTAAATGTGTTCCTACATTAAGTATCATGCATACACACCTCTGATCGGAGCGGCACTGTGAGAATCGTGTTTTTTGATTTCTCCAGCACCTTCAACACCATCTGGCTGCTCCTGCTGAGAGACAAGCTGGCAGAGATGAGGGTGGACCCACTCCTGGTGACATGGATTACTGACTACCTCATGGAGAGACCACAGTACGTCCGACTGAAGGGCTGCACGTCAGACACTGTGGTCAGCAGCACCGGAGCACCACAGGGGACCGTGCTCTCCCCCGTCCTATTCACCGTGTACACATCTGACTTCCAGTACAACTCCGGACTCTGCCACATGCAGAACTACTCGGACGACACTGCGATAGTTGGCTGCATCAGCATGGACGGGAGAGGGAGTACAGGAGCCTGGTCAAGGACTTTGTGAGGTGGTGAAGGTCCAACCATCTGCAGCTAAACACCTCCAAGACCAAGGACATGGTGGTGGACTTCAGAAGGAACCCGTGTCCATCGAGGGGGTCGATGTGGAGGTGGTCAGGACCTATAAATATCTGGGGCTGCAGCTGGACAACAAGCTGGACTGGACAGCAAATATGGACACTTTACACAGGAAAAGGCAGCGCCGTCTGTACTTCCTGAGAAGGCTGGGGTCCTTCAACATCTGCAAAAAACTGCTGCAGATGTTTTACCAGTCTGTGATGGCCAGCGTCCTCTTTTATGCTGTGGTTTGCTGGGGAGGAAGCAGCAAGAAGAGAGACACCGGTCGACTGGACAGACTGGTGAGGAGAGCTGGCTCAGTGGTGGGCACAGAGCTGGACTCTCTGGTGACAGTGGCAGAGAGAAGGACTCTGGACAAACGCCCACCACCCTGTGCACAACACCTTCACCAGGCAGAGGAGTGTGTTCATAGGCAGACTGCTGTCCCAGTCCAGCTCCACCAACAGACTCAAAAACTCTTTCGTCCCCCATCAGACTGTACAACAGCTCTCAGTAAATGCAGGTAGGACAATAGATAATAGACAATGGACAATTTCTACCTGTATTTGCACATCCATTTGCACTCCACTCCATTTGCACTGTTTACTGTAGCTACTGTTCATTTTATATATAGATCTATTTGTTATAGTGTACCGCGCTCCTGGACCGTACTCTGATTTTCTGTCTTAATTCTCAGAGTTTTTATCAAATTTAGTCCTTAAGCATGAAATTGGCATTAAAGGAACCGCACTAAGCTGGTTTAAGTCATACTTATCAGATCGTTCGTAGTTTGTATATGTTAACAATGAATCTTCCATAAATACCACAGTTAGTCATGGAGTTCCACAAGGTTCTGTACTTGGACCAATACTATTTACTTTGTATATGCTCCCTTTAGGCAACATTATTAGGAATCACTCCATTAACTTTCATTGCTATGCAGATGATACGCAGTTATATCTATCGATCAAGCCCGATGAAATCAAATTTTCTAAATTACAAACATGTCTTAAGGACATAAAATCCTGGATGACCTGCAATTTTCTGATGTTAAACTCAGAAAAAAACGAAATTCTTGTACTTGGACCCAAAAACCTTAGAGACTCACTGTCTAAAGATATAGTTACTCTAGATGGCATTACCTTGGCCTCTAGTACCACTGTCAGGAATCTTGGAGTTATCTTTGATCAGGATTTGTCATTTAATTCCCATATAAAGCATAATATTACAAAAATTAGACACATCCTGTCACAGACAGATGCAGAAAAGCTAATCCATGCATTTGTTACTTCTAGGCTGGATTACTGCAACTCTTTATTATCAGGCTGCCCCAATAAGTCCATTAAGACGCTCCAATTAATTCAAAACGCTGCAGCACGAGTACTGACAGAAACTAGGAAAAGAGATCACATCTCTCCTGTACTAGCTTCTCTGCACTGGCTCCCTGTAAAATTTAGAATAGAATTTAAAATCCTCCTACTCACCTACAAAGCTCTTCACAATCAGGCCCCTTCATATCTTAAAGAGCTCATAGTACCCTATTACCCCTCTAGAACACTGCGTTCTCTGAATGCAGGGCTACTTGTGGTTCCTTTAGTCTCTAAAAGTAGAACAGGAGCCAGAGCCTTCAGTTACCAAGCTCCTCTCCTGTGGAACCAGCTTCCAGTTGTGGTTTGGGAGGCAGACACCCTCTCCACATTCAAGAGTAGGCTTAAGATGTTCCTCTTTGATAAAGCTTATAGTTAGGGCTGGATCAGGTGAGTCCTGAACCATCCCTTAGTTATGCTGCTATAGGCCTAGACTATCGGGGGATTTCCCATGGTGCACTGAGCTCCTCTCTTCCTCTCTCTATCTTTCTGTACTCATTCATGTCCCATTAATGCATGTTACTAACTTCACTTCTTCCCCGGGGTTCTTGTGCTTTCTCATCTCGCAGGTTCTCATGGATCCTGGTGGTGCCTCCTGCCATGGTCCTGCTTGACTGCCATTGCTAATATCACTGATATTACTGTTATTATTATTATTAATATTATTATTACTACAGTTACTATTATTACTATTGTCACTGCTCATTGTCCCCCATCGTCGTTGTTGTCGTCGTCATCATCTACTGTTAGTGTGGTTGTTGATACTGTTGTGCGACTGTCTGTCTATCTGTCGCTCTCTCTCTCACACCAACTGGTCGAAACAGACGACCACCCACCTAGAGCCGAAGGATCTGTTCTAGGTTTCTGCCTTTTAACTGGCAGTTTTTCCTTGCCCTTGTCGCCAAGTGCTTGCTCATAGTGGTACTGTTGGGTCTCTGTAATTAATGTTATAATGAGTTCCGTCTGGACCTGCTCTATTTGAAAAGTGTCCTGAGATAACTTCTGTTATGAATTGGCGCTATACAAATAAAATTGAAATTGAATATTATATACATATAATATAATATTTTATATTTTATTTTATTTTTAATTTTATTCTTAAGGTTAGGGTTTTTAATTTTAGTTTAAACTATGTTTAATATATGTAATGTATGTTTTGTATTTCGCATGTTACTGGATACTTGAATTTCCCTCGCGATAAATAAAGTATCTATCTATCTATCTGAGGATTTTACTTTTGGAATTGGTGGAAATGGAGCTTAGTATCAGACTACAGCTTGTGATTATTTTCATTATGGACCCATCTGCTGATTATTTTATCCATTAATCCTTTGATTGATTGGTTTGTAAAAAGTCTAAAAATAGTGAGAAGGTCCAAAGTCACATGTTCACAATTATTTTGTTCAAAACTCTAAATTTTTACAATCATTCAAAGGAAAAGCAGCAAATCTTCATATTTGTGAATCTTAAAAATGAGCCATTGGTTTCTTGTAAATGATTAACTGACTCATTGATTAATGACCTTATTGAATAATAGACTGATATCTAGTGGTAAAGTTGAATTGAACTGAATAAAGCCCAGTCTTCTGAGCCTGTAGGAGAAATTACTGTAGAAACATGGCTTCTTAGAAGAGGACTCCGTCCCTCTGTAGATAAAAATGGTTTATTCTAAGGGAAAGAAAAAAACTGATCGCAGCTTGTTCTGCTGGGAACAAAATCTCTAGTAGTTCGGTGACGTATGGCTCAACATTTGTGCGCATGGACTGCAGTGATTGGTGAAAATCACAGGAAACTACAATGATGGGACAAATTTGCAAGGTCATGCAGAATTCACAGGCACTGATTAAATTTGTATCAACTGTTGCGATCACAACATCGCAACTTCCTGGAGGGACTGATTAATACATAATAGTGATATTTACGGAATTATATTCCATTTCTGCCAATAGAGCCTCCTAAATGTTACACAGTGGACCTTTAATTTGTAAAGTAACTCAAACTTTAAGATCAATGTAGTAAGGTCAAAAGAACAATATGTCCCTCTGAGATGTAGTTGAAATAGAAAGACTCAAATAACGTTCCTCAGATTTGGACTTTAGTACAGCAGTTGAGTAAATATACTTATTTACATTCCAGTGCTGCTGAAACACCATCCAGAGTCCCTCATGCCCTCTGCAGGCCGCCGCTGTTGTGGTGACGATGTGTGGACAGGCTGAAGTGAAGAGAGGAGTCGTGTGGAAAAAGTAGGTAAGATGCTGGAGGCGAGCGAGGCATGAATACACTTTTGAGAGGTTTTCATAATGGCTGCAGTGATTCAGAGCTAAATTAAGCTCAGGGAAGCCGGCTCCAGCTTTAGGGCGGGGCTTGTATTCTCATAAGTGGTATTATTTAGCCGGTGATGTCAGTAAATTGGCGAGTCGGTGGTGGCCTCGCTGTTCCAAACTGACATAGGAGAACAGTAAATACATTGATGCATGGAGCCTCACAGAGCGGCTCAGAGAGCCAAGAGCTGCACTCACAATCTCTGAATCACATCCCAAAACATCAGAGCACACTTTCACATTTCAGCCTCTTTACTCATTCAGCAGCATCTCTGCGTCTGTGTGTGAGTTTACTGAACAAAGTCACACATGCTGGTTTCTTCATCGAAGTTATCCAGTAATTCTCAAGATGAAAACCAAAGGTTAAAGGTCCAGTTTTCTCACTTTAAGGCCTTTACACACATTGGGGCATCAGTGTATATTTTGTAACTGTTTTTGTCGTGAGTACTTTCACACAGAGTGTGAATATTAGACAATAAGAAAGCAAGGTAATCTTCCTTGGATTACATTTTTATGAGCTTTCATCCCATATATACAGGAATCAACTGTTGGGATGGCGATTGCTCCCACTGTTCAGACTGTTCTGTGGGATTTACTGAAAGGGAACTTTATCATCTAATTTTACCTCCAGAACACAGGAGTTGCTGCTTTACTGCTGCCTCCATTAGTCTGCATGACTTTGGTCTTTAACCTATTATCAACCTATATCAGTCCCTCTAGTAAGTTATTGCAATGTTACGATTGCAACACTTAATGCAAATTCAACCAATCATGGTGAATTCTGCACGACTTCACAGATATATCTCCAAATTAGTTTAGTTTCACCAATCCAGTCCCAATGTAGTCCAAAGAGTCCCTTGAACAAAGCGTTTAGCCATACATCAGCAAACTACTAGAGATTTTATTGTCA